ATACTGTTCCACGGGTTGTCATATGCCAGACGATAATTGATTAAACATTTTTTTTAAAACACACTGCGTAGTACATCGATCGCTCAAAAAAAATTTTCTCCCGATGCTTTTAAAGCAACTTGTAGGTGCGATTGAGAAAGAACGTGTGCGGTCCAGCAAAAACCCACGTGGTTATCGCAGTGTCTGCGCGCAACACTGCCAAATGTTTAGCAGTGATAAGCTCCACACGGAACACCCAGTTTCTCTCAGCTGCCATCGGTCGTCGGCGTTGGGTGCGTTGTGGCTTGAAAACGCACACGCGAGATTTTGCGTGTGTTTACATTTTCAAAATTATAATAAAAAAATTAGCTAGTCGCGTGACTCAGAGATGAGAACGTTCGGCTGCTGTCGCGAATTTTGCATCTCGGTTCGAATCCGGGTTCAAACACTACGCTGCTCAGAGCAGGACCTCACCACGACTCTCTTAAGCGTTACCCCAACGATCTGGAACTCATCATTAGACCTCCTTTGTCAGTACCAAAATATAATAATAGGGGTTTTCCCCATTTTTTCTGCCAACAAAACTGAAACCTTTTTAACAAGGATTCATGTCTGCATTAACCACAATACTTGCGGTCAAAATGCAAACAAATGTACGCCTTTTGGCGTCCTCTGGTCGAGCACCAATTGGGTCCAGGCTCAAAAGAAAGCCGTCCCCTTGGTGTGGACCAATCGGTTTCAAGGACAATGCATATATTATCATAGTGTTTTTTTTTTAATTTGACTGCAAGTTTTGTGGTGAATGCAGACATGAATCCTTGTCAAAAGGTTTCAGTTTTGTTGCCAGAAAAAAGGGGAAAACGCACACGCTGCGAGCCTCGGTGTGTTTGGGAGGGAATTGCAAGTCTCCATATTTTATCGTGGCTTTTAATTAAACATGACTTGATTGTCTTTGCATTTTATTTTAGTGTGCAGTGTTTTGATATACCCACTTGAGTGGAGGTGATATTACATTTAAAATAAATAGCTTGAAAACAATTCTAAACTGTGTTGACAAAAAAACACCGTCAAAGTGAATACTAAACAAAAAGGTGTCAGTTTTGTTGCCAGATAAAAGGCTACAAAACCAATTATCATATTTTTTACTGGCAAATGAGGTTCCAATGGTGGAATTACCCCGGTCGATTCTATTGTCACGTAAAGCTTGCAATGCCACACTTCACCCCGTCGTAATTAACAATCATTATCTGCCACAGTCAAAAAAATAAAAAAATAAATGCTTGGCACAACCGTTCCTTCTAAGTTGTCGTGGGATGGCCGTGTATTCTTAATCTGACTGCGGAGGCAGCAAGCTTGAATTTCTTTCCTGTATCCAAATCCTTCTTTAACTCTGACGAAATGTCACCAAATTGAGCGACGTTTCCGTCATATCTGGGATGGATCACCCCAGTTTCCGCCTCACCGGACTTCATTCAACATCGACCGGGGAGGTTGGTAGACAAACAAAACAACAACAACAACAAGAGCCATATTTGTTCGAAAAATGTTTTTAAACCTCAAAATTTCAAGAGCCGCAACGCACCGTGCTCGATAAGAGGGACGGCGGCGGACCTCAAACACATTCCTGCGGAGGGAGCTGGTAGGAACGTTGTTGGGTTGCTCGGTCAATGGTCAGGGTCAACGGCGGCGTGGTGTATTCTGCAAATATGCCCGACTATATTTGACACGGTACATTGTACACTGCATACGACTTAAACAATGGAAATACTGCACGTGTATATGCATCACCCCATGATGCAGTCTTCGACATTGGAGTGGTAAGTACGGTACAGTAATTTTCCATTCTTGCATAACCCGTTTTGCAATTTTTTTTGCACATTCTTGCATAACGTAATGTTATGCAAGAATGTGCAAACATTTTGCTATTTTAAATAGTGATGACGTAGTGATTATCTGCCGTTTTTTAAACTCCGACGCCTCCGGTGAGAAAAGCGTGCCCACGTCCTCGGTTGCGCTGGTTTTGGCACTGCGATAAAAAAATAACAGCCACTTTATTAAATAACAGCCAGATCTGTAGCCGGCCGTACCCGTACCCTACCCGTACCCGGCTGCAACATGGCTTCATCCCAGAGGTCGCAATCAGGTACCCGATACCCTTACCCTACCCGTACCTGATTGCGACCTCTGGGATGAAGCCATGTTGCAGGCGCGGGTGGGTTGATTCTAGGAACTTGAATTGTGAGAAGAGACAAGACGTTGGGAAATGAGTGACAAACAGTTACTCACCAGTGACTCACGGACTACCCGTACTCGGCCGCACCAGGGTCGCAAACGGGTACCCGTACCCGGCCGGGTACGGGTAGCCGGGTATCGGGTAGGGTACGGGTACCCGGTTGCGACCTTTGGCGCTGGCACGGGCGCGCACATTATGGCCACGTGAACGTCACGGCACCGCACGAAAGGGGGGCGTCTTGGCGCACACTGGGAGCGCCTCGCGCTGACGTCTCGTCTCCAATATTCGGAGGGGCACCCCCCGTGGCAGCTGGCCGCGCGCGGCGCAAAGCAGCTCAGCGCCAGCCCCGTCTGTCAATAAGGGGGGGGGGGGGTAGGCAGGGCGGGGGGGCAACGATTATAATGTGTAATCTTAATTGAGTAACTGACTAGCCCTGCTCTTTGGTTCTTTCGGTAAAGGCACGTAGGTATGAAATTACATAAATCGCGACGTTTCTTTTGCAACACAAGCAATCATCATCAGGTGGGAAAACCACAGCAATAATTTTTGTTACTGAAGTGGGAGAGAGAGAGTTGCCGTGGTTAGAGGTTATATAGGTAAGAAAGGGGGAGGGGCAAGGCGGGAGAGAGAGGGGATGGGTGTGGTTTTCCCACCTGATGATGATTGCTTGTGTTGCAATCGAAACGTCGTGATTTATTTTATTTTACACCTACGTGACTTTACCGAAAAAAACAAAGAGTATGGATTCCTGCAGTCACGAAAGCTTCAAATCTAGATTGACTATCCGTATTTGTGCCCATTGATATATGCCGCGGCGTGGTGAATTTAAGACAATGTCCTTGCTGTGTGAAATGCCTGTACGTATCTCTCTCTCTCTATGTATCTCTGTGATATCTGTCTCTACTTACATGTCTGTCTATATGTCTCTGCTTCTGTGTTTTATCTCTTTCTCAAATCTTGCATTCTCAGGAAGAACGTAATCAACCAGGTAGGGTGTTGACTGTTATGTTATCCGACTCTCTGTTGTATTACATTACATTTCTAAGTCTACTAGATTTGTGTTTCTATTTCATTTATACCTGATGATGATTGCTTGTGTTGCAATCGAAACGTCGTATGCTAGTATTTAATTGATTATTTTCTCTTTATACGTGACTTTACCGAAAGAACCAAAGAGTAATTCCTGCAGTCACGAAAGCTCCAAATTAAGTGTGATACTCTTAGGTTTTTTCGGTAAAGTCACGTAGGTAAAAATAAATAATAAGAAATAAATATATATATAAAAATAATAGAAATAAAATAATAAATCACGACGTTTCGGAGGCAACACAAGTCTCCGTCATCAGGTGGAACCGTCACAGCTGAATTTACTGTGATAATACAATAAATTCAGCTGTGACGGTCGTAATTTATAATTGTATTTCTATTATTATTTATATAATATTCTTAGGTTTTTTCGGTAAAGTCACGTAGGTAAAAAACATTAAAAAGTAAAATAAAATAAAAATCACGACGTTTCGGAGGCAACACAAGCTTCCGTCTTCAGGTGGTACCGTCACAGCCACGACAGCTGTATCAAGTAAATGAGAGATTGCAGAAGCCACCACTCCGTTTATATAATGGTTGGAGGAGGTGGTGGAGCAAGGGCCGCATACTTTTATTAATATGGTAAGGTGAGGCTTAAGACTAAGAATAGACTGCATAACAAAGGCTGAGCCTTTGTTATGGAGAGGTGCGGTTTGTGACTCAACCTGTAACAGGGAGACCACCACTAGACATGGTAAAACTGTGATGGTTGTCTGTCAAATAAGATTGGCAAATAAGTGTAGTTAAATCTTTTTTGCATGGTTAATCACATCTTTCCAATGATTACTCAGTTTGTAACCGTCATCACGGTTGAAATTATGTCTGTGTTTGTATATTTGTATGGCTTCGTGTACAAACCTTTGATGGTAGCCAGGAGGTTTGCAGAGAACCTTGGTCTCGGAAAATACAATTTCATGAGAGCCCACTGAGTTGTAGCAATGATCGGCAACGGCCGAAGAATCAGTTCTTTATTGTTCTTTATTTTTACCTACGTGACTTTACCGAAAAAAACCTAAGAGTAATTCCTGCAGTCACGAAAGCTCCAAATTAAGTATAAATGCCTGTCGATTGCAGCAACTGCGGCAGTCCAGCTCTGCCAAGGTGACCATACACCCGTGAGCGCAACTCTGGGAGGCAGCGTCGCCTTCCCCGCGAATCGTTCAATCGACGAAATCGAGCACGTGCATCTCGTCTATAACAAAACTGGCGAAGAATTTGTTGTTTTTATTTGGTACAAAAACAAGAGCATACCGTCGCGCGGGGACCGGCAGAAGTACGCTTTCAAGAATGCGACGTTGCACATTCTAAATATAACCGCCAACGACACTGGAGTTTACGAATTTGTAGTCGAAACTTACACCAGCATATATTCCGTCGGTGCTTCAGGCTAAGTATTGCTGGTAAGTACAAAGACAAAGATCCCCCGTGGAGCCTTAACAGACAGTCGGGGCAAGTGCTGTCAGCGAGTAGCACCTATGAAGGCCGACACGGCACACGAGGGGGTGGGTGGCCAGCACCACGCCCGGCCGCCTTCGTCTCCCGAGTGGCGATGTTTACACACCGCAACAGGTACTCATTTGAGGCTGAGTCTACCTAGGGGAGGCCCAGGACCGGCCGTCACAGATCGCGCCTCTCGCTCGGCACGAGGTCGAGCGAAACATAACTTTGACCGATTAAAAAACAACAAAAATACATCGGTTACTTTAGCGATGAAATAACTCGACTCTCACTGCCACCGCTGTCTTGCCACCACCGTAGGGGCAACCCCCAGGGAGGCACCCCCCCCCCCACTGCCCTTTCGACAAGTCGCTCTGACCGGCGGTGTGACGAAGCTGACGGCCAAACAGCGGTGGCACTGACACAGAGAGGGGCCGTGTACATGCAACGTCCGGCTGGACACTCTCCCTCTATTTGCGGGGAGTTTGAGCACCGCTATTCGTGGCTCCACGTGTCCATGCCGTGTCCGTGCCGTGTGTTTGTGTGTTTCCCTTCAGTGCCTCCATCGCCACTTGACAACGATTCCTACCCCGTAGGTGGCAATGTCTCAAGAACAATGAAGCTCGCGTTCATTTCCGTGGGCGTGGTGGTTTGCGTATTGGTCATGTCCGCTGCAGGAGTCGCCTTGTACAAAAGCAGCCGCCCAGGATGCAAGATTACCAGTCAAGGTGCTTTGCGTGTTTGTGTAATGGGTTCCGGAGACACTTGTAGAGGTAACTTCTTTATTACAATACGACACTCCCACAGTCCTGATACTCTGTTACAGCCTAGGTACACAGCCTAGGTACACAGCCTAGGTACACAGCCTAGGTACACAGCCTAGATACACAGCCTAGATACACAGCCTAGATACACAGCCTAGATACACAGCCTAGCGACACAGCCTAGGTACACAGCCTAGATACACAGCCTAGATACACAGCCTAGCGACACAGCCTAGGTACACAGCCTAGATACACAGCCTAGATACACAGCCTAGATACACAGCCTAGATACACAGCCTAGGTACACAGCCTAGGTACACAGCCTAGGTACACAGCCTAGATACACAGCCTAGATACACAGCCTAGGTACACAGCCTAGATACACAGCCTAGCGACACAGCCTAGGTACACAGCCTAGATACACTATTCTGGCTACACTCTGGGGTCCTCCGGCTACAATTACCCTAGGGGAGGCTAATCTGACCCGACCCAGCCAAGGTGCGGGTCTGGACTCTGGCTTCCTCGGAACTCGCCCTTACAAGGACGTAGAGCCGGGAGTCCCAGAGTCCCACCACTGGACCTCACAGCGTCCCAGCGGGACGAGGGGGTCCAGGGTCCTAAGCTGGCTGGTCTTGAGCTACGACTGGCCCCGATCGGCCAGGGAGCTGCCCTTTTATGCCTCGTCCCCAACGAGGGGTGGGGTTGTGTGCACCCCCAGATACCCCACAGAGCACACACAGCCCCCCCGTTGGTGGCGCCAAGGGGCTTAAGTGTCTGGGGTGCCTGGGATCCTAGCGCCTGGCGCCGATGGCTTATCTGCCTAGGATCCCAGAGCCCCCAGCAGCCCCTCCCCTCTTATGGCACTACATTTGCAACTTATACGGGCACGCTTGCGTCTACAGCACCTGCGTATGTTGTCTCTATTCTGTTCTGGATTTATCAAGCGCCTTTTACAAAGGCGCTTGATAACGCTACGGTACAAAAGGGCGAGAGAAGGGATGGTGATCGGGTAAGTGACCAAGGGGTGGAGTGAGCGAGGTGGGAGGCTGCGGGGGTGGAGGGGTTCGGGGCGTTAGGTGGTGCAGGTAGGGGGTGGCGGAAGAGGAATGGGAAAATGTGGTGGAGAAAATAGATCGGACCTGAGGGCAGTGCGAAAAGAGGAAAGCGATGGGAGAGAGCCGGGTGTGGAGAGAGATTTTGTTGCAGTCCTGCGCCCAGTGGCACCCCCTGGCTAAAACTCCCTGCATCTTGTCCGACCTTGACAAGTCTTCATTTCACCATATAACCTCCCTTCAAGATGTCGAGCGGCATCTATCTCTGTCTCTTGGCCTCCTACCGAACATTCGACTTTCATGATGATGATGATGATCTTTTGGCTAAACAATCGGAACAAAGATGGTCACTGCGTCGCAAGCTTTCAGGAGCGCTTCTGCGGCCGTCTGGAACGCTCTTCCTTCCGATGTTAGGAAGCCACTGGAGCTATACACTTTTAAATCGAGATTGAAAACGCATTTCTTTAGAAGTGCTTTTTGTGTTAAATCTGCTGTCCTTCCCCCACAGCTCCGATTATCACGGTTGGCTACGTACAGTGTAAAGAAGCTCAATATACATACAATCCTTCCCGAACTTCCTTCATTGAGCTTTCACCTCTGAGAATGTGACCAATCCGTAACTGTAACCTTTCTTCATCATGAGGCCTCCTTTGCCAGTACCGAAATATACTAATAGGGGGTTTCCCATTTTTTCTGGCAACAAAACTGACACCTGTTGCAAGGAATCATGTCAACATTAACCACAATACTTGCAGTCAAATGCAAACAAAAAACAATACTCTGATAATGTGTGCATTGTCCTTGAAACTGATTGGTCCACACCAGAGACAGCTTTTTCTTAGAGCCTAGTCTCATATGGTGTTCGACCAGATGACGCCAAAAGGCGCACAGTTCAAAGACAACGCATTATCAGAGTAATGAGAGCTCGGGGTGAGCAACTACATCATGGGACCTCCTTTGCCAGTACCAAAATATACTAATAGGGGGTTTCCCAGTTTTTCTCGCAACAAAACTGACACCTGTTGCAAGGAATCATGTTAACATTAACCACAATACTTGCCGTCAAATGCAAACAAAAAACAATACAGTACTCTGATAATTTATGCATTGTCCTTGAAACTGATTGGTCCACACCAGAGACAGATTTTTCTTAGAGCCTCGTCTCATATGGTGTTCGACCAGATGACGCCTGCTCTGGAGTTTCTCAATTTTCCATCCGGTGCCATATACCCACACGCATCTCAACGCGTTATTTCCAGTCCGTTTTACCTCAGGTCGGCTGCAAACTGATCGGCCCGGCTGTCATGCGATGAACGTTGCTCTCAGGTGGCTAGAGCAGGTGGGGAACTTTGCCAACATGTAACGTGAAGTGATCTCAGAGGTGGCTCTACAATGTCCGCTTCCGAGTCGAAATCCGCACGGATCCTTCGTCTGCACGAAATGAGACCGACAGCGCAATCAATCCGGATGAAATTGCGAGAGAGAGAAAAGAAAGTACAGAGAAAATGTACGAATGGAGGTTTGAGCGCAAACACTCCACTAGGAGGGGATGATGACCGGCGGTCGAGACTGCTGCTGGAGTAGAACTCAAAGGAGAGAACTTCCATCCCAGAGATGACTTGTTCGTTTACAAGATCACGAGAGGTAGCGGTTGCTTTGGGAAGCCTTCACCCAGCAGTGGATAGATAATGTCTGTTGCTGCTGCTGCTGTTGATGAAGTACAATCATTAAGAGAGGGTTGCGGTGCGTATTTTGATTTTCTGTTTGCACATAGTCACTTTAAGATGTTTTCTTGTTCATGTTTTTGTTTTTTGTTTGTTGCGGTTGCACCCGATTCAAGAGCCGAATGGCTCACAGAGCTACACCTAATAAATGAACTTTGAACTTTTATTTAGTGTCGCCTTGTGGAAACGTTATCAGCTTGCCGATGAAACATCGAAGCGTGCGAATGCATAACATGAGTGAAAGCAACTGGCTGTCTTGCTGTGTTCACAGCTGTGGAGGATGATGCCGACCTCGACACGGTGTATAGCACTATTAACGATGTCCTGACTGTCGAGCACATTGAAATAAAGGAGTTTTATTCCGAAGGTAAGAACAATGATGAACTGCCAAGCAAAGACAAAGAGACCCCCCCCCCGTATAGCATTAACAGACTTGGTACAAGTGCTGTTAGCGAGCACCTACGAAGGCCGACACGGCCACACGAGGGGGTGGTTGGCCAACACCACGCCCGACCGCCTTTGTCTCCCCAGTGGCGATGTTTGCACACCGCACCAGGTACTCATTTGAGGCTGACTCGACCTAGGGGAGGGGTAGGGGGGCCCAGGACCGGTTCGGATACCCGCCACCGGTGTTGACCGTGAGCGGCAATCGAACCCGGGTCACCATGTTCTTTATCGCAATGCGCTAACCGCTACAACACTCCCCACAACTCCTAAACACACACACGCACCCGCTTAACTACTGCACTCTGGAATGACCACGTGGCTTTCACTTCCAATGTTGTGGGGGTGGGGGGGAAGGGGGTTGTAGTTTTTGGTGGTGCCTCGATCATGGGGAGGTGATAATCCACCCAGCATCTGCACTCAAGCTGCAGTGATATACAGCTATCGTGCTGTGACGGTTCCACCTGAAGACGGAGGCTTGTGTTGCCTCCGAAACGTCGTGATATTTATTTTATCTTTATTTTACTTTTATTAATTAAAAATTTTTACCTACATGACTTTACCGAAAAAAACCTAAGAATATGAATCCTTGCAGTCACGAAAGCTTAAAATCTAGAATCTGCAGTGATGAGATGAACTCGCGTGTGGCTGCTGCTGCCCAGGTGGATTGCAGGCCCCCCCCCTTACCTCCCCCACAGCCCAGCGGCATTGCCGGGGTTCGGTTTGTGCGTAACATGCGGCTCACCTATTTCGACCAAAAATTCGCTCTGCTACGCGGTTTGAATTCACGCCTGCTGCGGCTGTGTCGTCAGACGTGGGGCTATGTGTGTGTGTGTACCCAGAACCGGCCCTAGACCTTTGGGGGCCCTAAGCAAAATTTGGTTGGAGGCCCCTTTGATGTATGATGTTTTTCACCCACGAGCTAGCAGTGACTCTAGGGGGCCCTCTGCTGGCCACGGGGCTCTTTGCAATTGCAAGGGTCGCTTAGTGGCTGGGCCGGCTCTGGGTGTACCGTGGGGAGCGGTAGTGTAGCGGGTAGCGCACTTCGCTATGAACCCGGCGTCGCGAGTCCGATTCCCGCTCACGGCCAACACCGGTGGCGATTATCCGAACCAGTCCTGGGCCATCAATAGATCGACTCGGCTTCAAATGAATACCAGATGCAAGCGGCCAGGTCTGGTGTTGGCCAGCCCACCCCCTCGTGTGTCACAGTGCCGACCATCATAGGTGCTCGCTAATAACAACCTGTCCCAACAGTCCATTAAGGCTACACGGAGGGAGTCTTGATTGCGCCCTTCTTTTGGAACCCATCATCACCGACTACTACTACCGCCGCATAGAGCGAGGGGGTAACCCGCATTGCATCGCCTGACTGCGAGAGACGACCACAGCTTGCGGAGGCCGTCATGCAGCAGCAGATTGCTCATGACTGCTACCGCTGCTCCTAAGTGATATCTGAATTCGCCCGCCCCATCCCACCCATTCACCAACCCCCACTGACACGTCTGGTGAAGTATGGTGAAATAAACCCCGCCCGCCATGGGTAACGTTAAGTGGGGATAGGGGCTGGGAAGACTGTGTGACAAGAGGGCTGAATTTATGCGTTTGGCTAAATGTGTGGAAGCTTCTGACACAATCGCAGGCGGCAACGGTGCGGGTGGGGATGCCTCTTGCCCCACACTTGGCGAACGAGGTGGTGCAGGGTGATAACCAAGGAGCCGATCGGCATTTAAACTCGTAAAGGGTGTCATGAGCGGAGGGAGCGGTGGTGCAACGGTTCGCAACACTGCCCTACGTGCAACCGGCGACCTGGATTCAGTTCCTGCCCACGGTCAAAATTGGTGGCGAGTGATATCCGAACCGATCCTAGGACAGCTTTTTTCCCAGTAAATATAATGTGTTTTACCCTTTCTGGCAATAAAACAGGAGTTGTGTTACGCTATTCAAACACCAAATAGCAACCTTTTGCAAGGGATAAAGTTACTGCATTAACCACACACGGTACCTGTGAACATGTAAACAAAAACATGCTCTGGTAACATACGCATGGTCTTTGAAACGGAATGGCCTACACCAGAGATGGCCTTCTTTAAAGAAGCCAATGCATACATTATCAATTAATATACATTATCAATTAATATACATTATCAATTAATATACATTATCAAACACATTCCTGCGGAGGGAGCTGGTAGGAACGTTGGGTTGCTCGGTCAATGGCCAGGGTCAACGGCGGCGTGGTGTATTCCGCAAATATGCCCGACTGTGAGGGCGGGCACAAGCCGGCGTGAGTAGGTTAAACGTTGAGTTTTATAAGGGCACCACAGGGTGACCAGCCCCTCCCCACCCAGCCCTACCCCTCCCACCCCCCACCCAGCCCCACCCTCCCCACCCAGCCCCACCCTCCCCACCCAGCCCCTCCCCACCCAGCCCCTCCCTCCCCACCCAGCCCCTCCCTGCACGACGGACGGACGGACACAATAATCCACTGTGGGCTGGTGGATCCAGTGGGTTGCTACCAGTATTAATATATATTATCAGAGCATGTTTGCATGTTAACCAGAAGTACATGTGGTGACTGCAGACTTGATTCCTGACAAAAGGTTTCTATTTAGGTGTTTGAACATTCATAACACCTCCTGTTGTATTTCCACAAAGGGTAAAACACCTATACAGTACTTAATCTAGATTTGAAGCTTTCGTGACTGCAAGTATTCATATCCTTAGGTTTTTTCGGTAAAGTCACGTAGGTAAAAAATCCAAATTAATAAAAGTAAAATAAAAATTAAATAAAAATCACGACGTTTCGGAGGCAACACAAGCTTCCGTCTTCAGGTGGAACCGTCACAGCATGCTTGCTGTAATCAAGTAAATGGTTACAGCTATCGTGCTGTGACGGTTCCACCTGAAGACGGAAGCTTGTGTTGCCTCCGAAACGTCGTGATTTTTATTTCATTTTTATTTTACTTTCATTAATTTAGATTGTTTTACCTACGTGACTTTACCGAAAAAATCTAAGAATATGAATACACCTATACTTAGTTTTCATGATCCTGGACTAACCTCCATCCACTCCACCGGCCGGCACTGGCCAGAGTGGTGAAGTAATGGTGAAGTAAGCCGAATGACAGAAGGATAATCTTGATTTTTGTCTTGTTTTTTTACAGTCTTTCAGGCTAGAACGAAATCGCCTTATGAATATGCACAGGTAGACGGAGACATAATCAGGAATGCGCCTCCTGTGAACAGTGCAGGTACGTTCGCCACCCACTGTGTGCACTTACACACAGACACGCACCGCATTCATTACTGCCGACGTGGAGATACTCGTACAAGTCCCATCTCACACTCGCGGGACAACACCACGCAGCATTACACCACACCTCGTCAACCCTTTAAATCGCTGTAGTAAACCTCTTCATCTGCACGATGTTCCAACGATTTAAACAACAACAACACACGCACAATGGTGTACCACTCACCAATCACATCGCTGGGTGGACAGAGCTGGCGGTGGTGGTAGGGGGTGGGGTAGTGTTGGTGGTGGTAGGGGGTGGTGGTAGGGGGTGGTGGTGGTAGGGGGTGGGGTGGTGGTAGGGGGTGGGGTGGGGTGGTGGTAGGGGGTGGTGGTAGGGGGTGGGGTGGTGGTGGTAGGGGGTGGGGTGGTGGTGTGGTAGGGGGTGGGGTGGTGGTAGGGGTGGTGGTGGTGGTGGTAGGGGGTGGTGGTGGTGGTGGTAGGGTGGGGTGGTGGTAGGGGGTGGGGTGGTGGTGGTGGTAGGGGGTGGGGTGGTGGTAGGGGTGGTGGTGGTGGTAGGGTGGGGTGGTGGTAGGGTGGTGGTGGTAGGGGGTGGGGTGGTGGTAGGGGGTGGGGTGGTGGTGGTGGTAGGGTGGTGGTAGGGGGTAGGGTGGTGGTGGTGGGGGTGGTGGTCCCTACGAGAGAGAGAGAGCGAGGCTCTACCTCGGTAAACAACAACCACCACCACCACAACAACCACCACCACAACAACCACCACAACCACAACAACCACCACCACAACGAAAAACAAATGATACATTACATTGCAGCGTACGCACGGAGCAGCCCTGCAGCTGCTCAGAATTGGAATCTGTCCTGAGGCTGGAGAAATCCGAAGAGCCATGAAGCTCTTTGTTGCAGATGTCCAATAGGATTTGCTCTCAACCGCCGCTGGTTGAAGGTCCTCCGCTGCGTGGGGAGTTTAAGAGAGCTCCTGTCCCGGGAAATTTGGCCTACTCTTCCATACTGGCCAGGCAATCCTGGAAGAGGCCGGAGCAGCCACGGAAATCTGTATTTTATTGATATTTAGCAACTGCAATAAAAACAAATACATGGAGTGTTGTATTGTTGTAATCATTAACGTGTAGGGCTTGAGTATAGTTCGTAATCGCGACGGGGGAAGCGTTGACGGGCAGCAGTGGACCCCCCCCCCCCCCCGCATTAACCACTAACAGTACTCGTGGTTAACATGCAAACAAAAGTGCTCTGATAATTCACTATGTAACACAATTTTTGTTCCTGGGTAGTAAGTGTTATTTCCTAATTGCGTATGCCTGAAAAGTATTAAAAAAATGGCTATTATTCCCCACAAACTTTGCTTTTGTGACCAGGACAGTGATATTTTGAAATGTAACTATTTGAAATGAGAAAACGGGCGAATTTGTGTCTTTTCGTTCACATTAAGTCAGAAGAAAACCAGATATTAATCTAAATTAACATATATTTATACTAAAGTAATACAAAATTACTATAAACGATTTGGAAGTGAATAGTTTTTTGGAATTTACGATTATACTGTAAATCACTTTCACGAATCAGCCCTCAAATGTAGTCTCCCATCATGTTCTCGTTATACTGTCCTTGGTAGCGGCGTTCAAAGTCCAGATAATCCTGGTGGAAGCGCTCGCCTTGCTCCTCCGAGTACGCTCCCATGTTCTCCTTGAATGTATCAAGATGAGCATCAAGGACGTGGACTTTGAGGGACATCATTCTCACCAGCTCCACATAGTTTAAGACCTTGTGATTGCCCAGGAAGCCACAAACCACTGCGACAAAGCTGTTGCAAGTCGCTTTCTCCTTACTAGTGAGCTTCTTGGGAAATTCATGGCAACTCCAGGATCTCATTTATCTGTGGTCCGACGAAGACACCGGCTTTGACCTTTGCCTAAGCCAGCTTAGGGAAGAAGTCTTGAAGGTACTTGAAGGCTGCCGACTCCTTATCTTTGGATATTGCAGTAAAGCTTGCGACTGGTTTCAGGCCCTTCGTCTAGGTGTGATGGCCAGACTCCTGTGTATGACGATATAATGCCACAGATCAACTTGCAGAGCGACGACAACGCCTTCACCCACGCCAACTCGGACAGTGCCATAACAGTCGCCGGTAAGGGAGCAATCGCGCACGGCACGGACATGCGGGGCGGACACGACGGACTTGTGCCGTCACGGACGCCGATGTAGCAAACGGCAGTTCCATTATTTCTGACAATTTGGATGTTTTATAGCGGCAGTTCTCAACCCTTATTGCCTTTATCCAACGCGGCGTTACGAAAGGCGTTTGTGTCACGCTGTGTGTTTGATGCGGTACGGGAGGATGTGGAGCTGAGTGGACATGCTGACGACTGGTACTAGCGGTGTCAAGATCGGCCTCTATGGAGGAGGCTCGTGAAAGACGCTGCTGGGCAGCTGGAAGCAGGCGCCCTCCAACAACAACTGAGGGCAGAGGAGCGACGCTCACAACAACGAGCGGAGTGCTGGGCGGCTAAAATACAGAAAGTTGGCACAATAGGAGGTACAGCTGGTGCATCTACCAGTCATCTCCGTCAGCCAACCCATGCAACCTGCTGGGTCTGTCCCGTGACCTCCTGTCAGCGAGCATTCGACACTTCACGTGATAGCCTCAAAGTGCACCTGGCCTGGCACAGGCGCCGTGGTGACGTCACCGTCACTTAGTGGTGAATGGCGGCTGTGTTGGTTTTGGTTTATTTAGATATTTCGCCGGCAACGTGGCGCTTTCGTTTCCACCGCGCACGTTTGAAATTCCTCCTGCACGGTGTCCATGCTGCAGCCCGGTGCCCTTCCCCGACAGGCTAAAGGTGTTCCCGGCACAGAGGGGCAGGGCACCCTTGGGGTTGAGCACCGCTGCTTTAAATCCTGCCAAACGTTCCCCTTGGGTTGCCTTAACGTCTAATTTCACGATAAAAATGACTTGTGGTGATAATAATTAAAAATAACGCGAAGCTTCTTCTTGGTTCTTTCGGTAAAGTCACGTAGAATGGAAATAATAAAATACGAAAAATAAAACATAATAAAAGAATATAATATAAAATAATATAATAATATAATAAAATAATTTTTCCCATTCTACGTGACTTTACCGAAAGAACCAAGAAGATGAATCCCTGCAGTCACGAAAGCTTTAAATCGAAACGCGAAGCTTGTCTACCGGATTTTAACATTTTTGCATTTCCCCCCCCTCCTCCTACCCCCTTACATTTTAAGAGTCGCCGTACGCTGTCGCAGTGGACTGCCTGAGCTCAGAGGATTCCACGATGGATGTGGTCGCAGTCAAAGAAACGTCACAGTCCTGAGTGTCCGCTAACGGCTGCCAATATCTCGCATCGGTACCTGCCGAGAGTAGCAAATCGTTCGGCAATCACTCGATAATCCCACTGCCTCCCTCCGCCCCCCCCCCCACCAACTCGTTTCAAATGGCCATCACATAAATCGCCATCGTTGGTCGCAGTGAATAAATTGGAACCACTAAAGCGATGCCATCCCAGGTGGTGACCGACGAGTGATGAGATACCAATATGGTCTGGGGGCCTGTGGACCCACACGGCTTGGGACCCCTTGGCCTGGGACCCCATGGACCACAGGCAAGAACAGACGCGGTCGATTCCAAGTCCGGTGCAACGTGAGCGATACGTAACCCCGGTCTCGATGCATATCCTGAAGACAATGTCGTGGGTGCGTGGGATCCCTTTCGACGGTGCAACGTCGCATATGTCCAACTCGCAAGGTGCCGGGGGTTTTTGGCGGATGTTGTGAGATGGTCGGATATGTTGACATTCGTAGGCGACGGCGGTTGAACCACCGGCACGCACGGAGGTGACTGGACAAAGTTGAAGCGTCTCACTGCTTTAAACATGGGGAAATGCTTTGCTGTACACATGCGTCAACAACACTGTGGGCTTTAAAGGAAAAATATATAATAGGCGACGTTTTGGGCAATGGATGGGCCCTCTTCATAGTACGTAAAGGACATTGAAAAAGGGGTCATCACCTGAAACGTCGCCTTGTGAATTTTTTTTATATAGCCAGTGTTGTTGAGTTGCTTTCGTTTAATTTGTGCACCGCTCAACCCAGCAGCCATCACCTGATGATGTGTTCAATGTATGTTTATGTTGAACTTCTTTCGCACCATACATAGCCAGCCGTGCTAATTGAATGTGTGGGGGAAGGACAACAAACTAAACACAACAAGTAATATTTAAAACATATATTTTTAAAACACGCTTTTTATGAAATGTACTCGTAATGGAAGAACTCCACGACTCCAGGAAGTGGCCCGAAGCTTGCCATAACGTAAGGGACCGTGGCCAATTACAGCCAACGTCAGTTTACCGTGGACAATTAGACCCAAGCCGAAACATAACATATAAAAAATAATGTTTTTAAACATATGCTTTCTTATTTTTTTTGTATGATAGAATATAGTATTGTCATCAGTATGACATAAGTATACCAAGTTTGCAGTCGATACCACATTGGGAAGTGGGTAAAAATTGAGTCACAAGATTTGAGGAAACAACGACAACAACAACAGACAGACAGAGTGAGTTAAATAAAAGCGTGTAAGAAGTAGTTCGAAAAAAACGAGTTTTCAATCTAGATTTAAAAGTGCATAGCACCAGTGGATTCCTAATATCGAAGGGAAGAGCGTTCCAGACGGCCGCAGAAGCGCATCTGATAGCACGCTATTCAGTGACCGTCTTTGTTCGATGGCCAGCCAAAATCCGCTGCGAGGATGACCAGAGTTCACGTGATGTGTCATGCTCGTAGGTAAAACATTAAAATTAATAAAAGTAAAATAAAATAAAAATCACGACGTTTCAGAGGCAACACAAGCTTCCGTGTTGCCTCCGAAACGTCGTGATTTTTATTTTATTTTACTTTTATTAATTTTAATGTTTTACCTACGTGACTTTACCGAAAAAACCTAAGAATATGAATCCTTGCAGTCACGAAAGCTTCAAATCTAGAATGTGTCATGCTCCTTGACGAGATAAGCGATGCATTGTGGTTCATTTGTGGCAAGCACTTTGCGTGTAACGAGTGCAACCTTACGATGCATTCGTTCAGCAACCGGAAGCCAATGCAATTCGGCGAGCACTGGACGGACGTGGTCGGACCTTGCACTACCCGACACGACCACGTGGCAGTCCGGGCGATGATCTGTCCAAAGAGTCACAGTCCCCTGGCTCTAATTCACAAATCACCGAGCGTATCATGCGAGGGTGAATACATGGGTTGATCTCACAATCCATGCAAGCGAAACACACCCCACGGTAGCGCGTATGAGCAACGCACCTTGAGCAGGTGCCGTGCCAACGTATTGTATATATTGAGATACGCTCACACTTGGATGCTGTGGTTTTACATTGTTTTGTTATTATACATACGCACTTTCTTACATCTATGCACAGCATATATGGGAAAATACCACGTGCTGATACCATATTTAATTAGGGGCCGTCCATAAATGACGTCACGCGTTTTTTGACGATTTTTGATCCCCCCCCCCCTCGTCACACGGCATCACAAAAAGTCAGACCCCCCACCCTCAAATATGACGTCACAAAGCTCTGCCCCCCCCCCCCCCGCAAAAATAAAACATGCTTCAAATCGCTTTAAACTATTGTCATTGTAGTGCGTATTTAATGTGGCGCTGCACTCTGTTGTAAGAGAAAACATTGATTAAAAAGTATATTTCATTAAGTAGAACGTGTTGTCTATATTTATTTAAAGTTGCGCATTTTGATGTGACGTCACATTTCTCAAACCCCTCCTCCCCCCCCCCGTCACACATCGTCACAAATGTCTGACCCCCCTCCCCTAGGTACGTGACGTCATTTATGGAGGGCCCCTAAGCAGTATTGATTGGTTCGCCTTTTGGAGCTAAAACGTTACTCACCTTTTGACGCGGGAGTCTGTAGGGAAAACGACGATCGCTTAACGAGTTTCGCTTACCGAGCAATTTTCGCGGAACTTATCACGCTCGTTAAGCGAGGCACGCCTGCATTAGTGTTGTTGTCGTGAGTGACTCGGCTCGGAATATCTCATCCCTTCTGCAGAATGAACTCGAGCGTTCTCTCTGAGAGGGTGCGCATACCCCGAATCAACAACACTTCCCACCTGCCCATTGTCCGTGTTGTATCTTTGTTTATTTACCGATCCAAGATCGGTAAATGTGTAGTGGTGAGCGCGGTGGTGTTCGTGCACCCGGCGAACCGAGTTGGAATTCCCGATCACGATCAAGAACTCGGTCGACTTTAGCCTCAAATGAGTACCTGGTTCGTTGTCTACGTCAGCACAGGGGGGACAAAGGCGATCGGGCGAGGTGATAGCCACCCTTGTGTGCTGTGCCTGCCTTCAGAGGTACTCGCTAACAGCACTTGCCCCAAAAGTCTGTTAAAGGCTATACGGGGCATCTTTGTCTTTGCTACTCCACGATACGCCAGGCGGACGTGTGTGTGTGTTTGCTTGACTCACGGTGTGCCCCGTTCTTTATTAATCGAGCCCCGTGTTTACGACATCACAGCAAGTAGGCTGTGCAATGGATTGACGAATCAGTCAATGTGCTGCGGAGAAGGGCCGTTGCCCGAAACGTCGCCTACGATATACGCAGATTACAACTGCACGTGGTACTTTACCGTAGCCCAATACGCGGCGGCGTCTTGCTTCGCAGCGGACGTGAGAGATCCCCGTGACGTCCTTCGCAAGAGTGGGCCACGCTGTGTGTTGGCGCCGTGGTCCAAATGTGGCCAACTTTGAAATGAAAACGAAAAATGTACCACCGCAAAAAAGACTCAATTGTGGCATCGCACACGGGAGTAACCATCGCCCACCACTCCCCTCCCCAAACTGCTAAAACCTTCCAGGTCTCTCTTGAAAATCAGTCACGAGACTGAGGCTTTCTTGGGTTAAGCAAGCAATACAAACGTTTTTTTCTTTACTCATTGGTTCTTTCGGTATGTAGAAATAAAATTAAAATAAATCACGAATAAAATATAATTAGAACAAATCACGTTTCGAACGCAACACAAGCGCTCATCATCATGCGTTCGAAACGTCGTTATTTATTCTAATTATATTTTATTTGTGATTTATTTAAAAAATTATTTTATTTCGACATACGTGACTACCGAAAGAACCAATGGGTATAGTAATTCCTGCAGTCACGAAAGCTTCAATTCTAGATTTGTTTTCTTTTCAAGGCCACGGTGGTTTGAACAACAAACAATGTGGGGTGTTTTTTCGTGCTCACGCGCCACTGCCGAGGGCAACAGCAGCAGCGAGAATCACCAAATTCATCCGTCTCTCGGCGTATATTCAACCCTACGGCTGCGTCTCATGGCAAAATGTTCACAAGCGAAAATACCGAAGTCTGAGGTCTGCTGCTGGCGAGAGAGCTTCAGGAGAGAGAGTTCGTGTAGGTTGGCTGTTCCTCCTCAATTGAAAGAGCGCAAGACTATAGTGGGGTTTTGAGTTGTACGCCTTTTGGCGTCATCTGGTCCAACACCAATGGAGACTAGGCTCTAAGGAAAGCTGTCTCGGGTGTGGGCCAATCAACTTCAAGGACAGTGCATATCATTACCATTATCAGAGTTGTTTCTTTTTGTTTGCATTTTGACTGCTTGTGTTGCGGTTATTGCAAACATGATGCCTTGTATAAAGGTGTCAGTTTTGTACCAGTTGAAAGGGTAAAAACCGACTACTACAGTGGGGTATTTACTAACTATACTGGTCCATACTTTCGTTTGCCGGCCACAGTCGCATTACTGTGGCTTGTGCCTTTAATGTTGACGTTATAAGGTCGAACTCGTTCCACACAAAGTGCCTGCCGCAAATTCACCACGACACCCTCGCTGATCTCGTCAAAGAGCATAAACGATCACGCGAACTCCGCTCGTCATCCTCGCAGTCGCGGCTTTTGGGCTGGCCGTCGAACAAAAGACGGTGGTCACCGCATCTGCGTTCCAGACGGACGGAACAGTGGCTTCCGATGTTAGGATGATCTGTGGCAAAGAATTCCGATGTTAGAAAGCCACTGGCAGCTGTGCACTTTTCAATCACCTCGATTGAAAACTCATCCCGTTAAAACTGCTTTTTGTCATGAGACTACATTTGCCAGTAGCAAAATATAATAGGGTTTTTTACCCTTTTATCTGGCACAAATCCGACACCTTTTTACAAGGGATCATGTTTGTCTCTGGTGTGGACCAATCAATTTCAAGGACAATGCATTCATTATCAGTGCTGTTTTTTGTTTGCATTTGACCGCAGGTATTGTGGTTAATGCAAACATGATCCCTTGTAAAAATGTCAGTTTTGTGCCAAATAAAAGGGTAAAAAACCTATTATAACTGCTTTTTGTGTTTAGTTTGTCCTTCCCCCGCGCCTCCGATGAGCACGGCTGGATACGTACGGTGCGAAAGAAGTTATACATACAATGTTCCACGTGTGAAGGAGAGACGTGCATTTATGATCCGTGGCAAAGGATTCTCAAGCAGTGCCCTCTACCGGTGTCTGGTGGCTACTGGACATTCCACGTTACCGCTTCCCTCTCAGGCGAGAATTTCTGCCGTAACCTCCACCCTTCCTCCCTCGCATTCCTTTCACGTTACACAGGCGGCTCGCAACTCGATGCCTGCCCCTAATAAACATCCTTGTCAGACAGCTCATCCACAAGGCGGGTCGTCCACACTCGCTGCTGCTGCTGGGAGGACAGAACCCACCCTGTTGAACACCGTGACATCACCCTCCTCGACGCAGTAAATACGCCAAGCGCTAGCGCCATCTATCGGGAGAAGTTAGGTTTACGTTTTCCTGCTCCGATTTGTCCTGAGTTACAATCTTATGCATGAAAATAATTAACCCGTAAAAACAAAGTTTTTCACTATAAATCCTTTATATGCGTGGCATCGGGGCGGCTAGAGTCCTCTCGTCCTCTGGCTTGAGATGGCTGCCACCTATGGGTCAGATGATTGTCTGGCAGCATTAAACAATAGGTAATTAAATATTTTTAAAAAATTCCCTAAAGAGTGTAAAATTTAGGAATTTTTTTTTTCACGAAAATGCATTGTCACGCACAACGAGTCTGTGTGCAAAATGTCAGCTCGATTGGATCAGGGGAAGTGGGTTAAAAAACGACCGAAAGATGTGCACGGTCCTAAGCAAGCAAGCAAACTTAATATAAAGAATTTAAAAATTAGAATAGGTTTCCCCCTTTCTGGCAAACACATTCCTGCGGAAAAAGCTGGTAGGGACGTTGGGTTGCTCGGTCAATGGCCAAGGTCAACGGCGGCGTAGTGTATTCCGCAAATATGGCCGACTGTGAGGGCGGGCACAAGCCGGCGTGAGTAGGTTAAACGTTGAGTTTTATAAGGGCACCAAGGGGTGACCAGCCCCTCCCCACCCAGCCCCACCCAGCCCCACCCCTGCCACCCCCCACCCAGCCCCACCCTGCCCCTCCCCACCCAGCCCCACCCCTCCCATTTTTTGATTCACGACGGACGGACACAATAATCCCCTGTGGGCTGGTGTAACCAGGAGGTTTCTACCAGTATAAAACATGTGTTAAGATGTTCAAACACCAAATAGAAACCTTTTTCAAGGAATCGTGTCTGCACTAACCACACGTACTTGTGGTGAACATGCAAACGAAACATGCCCTGATAATGTGTTCATTGTCTTTGCCACTGCTGCCATTCGGGTTACCTCTGGCAATCCTTGCAAGAGTAAGCAGGCATGTGTAGGACGCGCAAAGCAG